TCTTGAAGACACCAAACCCTTGTGGTGAGGGGGCCTCGTCTGGCGCCAGGCGCGCGGGGCTCCCGGCGCGGGGCAGCTCCCGCTCCTGCTCCCGCGTCCCAGAGGTGCTGGGCTCTGCTTCCCTGGATCTGCAGTTACGGGAATCCGCCCATGGAAACGCCTGGAACTGCAACACCTGCCCCTGAGGAACGCAGCAGCAGGAACTACCTGTCCGGCACCTGCCCCGTGCACTAACCTGCTCTGGCCTCTATTATTTTGTACCAAGTTTGAAGTCTTACTTTTAAAAGGTAAAGACAGGTGCTTTTTCCATGCAGCAAAGCCCAGTTTAATCTATGGCAAAACTAATTACCTTGAACTAATTTGCAAACAGAAGACGAGAACAAAATGTTACAGGGTATCACAGGTAAGCCATGGAGATGCTGTCAGCAGTTTCCCACCTGATTTCTGTGTAGAAATTGCTACTTTGATACCTTCAAAAACCAGACCTCAAAACACTTCTCAAATTATCTTAAGCATTTCAGAGCATGCTTGCCTATAAAGTGAAACAGAACATTTTTAATCAATCTTCTATTTCTTGTTTAACCTTAGTTCTGCAATGGAATCAATCCAAGGTACGTATCTATGAAAGAAGATGAGAACGGTCCTGACTGTCCAAAGTATCAGGCAGAAATTTAGTTAACTTATAATGATTTTAATTTAAAATGGAAAAACTGCATGCTAAACCTTTATTTTCAGGATGACTGTCTGTGCTAACACCTGAAACTTATCCAGGTAAATACATGGCTCTAAGGGAGAAAATAATATAGGTATGTAAGGAAAGCATGAAATCTGTATCAACATGAGCTCTGTCAGTGAAGATATGCCACTAGCAGTCACTGAGTAATGAAATAAACAGATACACAGAGCACATAAATACTGAGTACTTATTTTTGTACGAGAAGTCAGGGTTTTTTCATTCACCTAATCTGTGTGTTTGACACCAACAGGGGTTCAAGTATCTCAGGCAGGCTCTCCAGCTTAGCTCTGATAGTCTGGCTTGATCTCTATTGTCTGGTGTCTGAGTTGAGCCGACAAACCTCCCAGCAAGTGGTCACCTTCCGACGGAGTCATTAAACCCCTGCCTGTCAGCTGGGGGGATTAGCCTGCAGACTTCACACCTGAGCCCTATGGCGGGGACACGGGCATTCTGATCACCAGCACTAATGAATACAGAATTCATATGCAGCTTGTCATTGCTCCTGAGCCCCGAATCACACAGATGCAGGCTAAATAAGACTGATGAGACAACTATTGTTGAAAATTAGAGTTTTGACAGTTTCCAAAAATACCTCAGTGTTACTGGTAGTAGCTAATAAACAAAAATACTGCCACTATATCGAGGAGCAGTAAGAAATAGAACCACAGAAACATATTTGAATGATTTGTATAGCAGCTGCTTAAAATGGGAGAAAAAGACACCTTCGTAAATTTTTTTTACAACACCTTATGCTTTTTTTTTTTTTTAACCAAAATAAAATGTTTGCAGCGAACCTGGCATTTAGACCATGTCCCCCTCCTCGCCTGCGTGGGACACGGAGCGGCGCACGGGGACCTCGGGAACCAGCGGCACGGCCAGAAACAACCCGGTGAGCCAGGAGAGCCCCGGCCTACACGGGGCTCTACACCTAGAGCACCTCCAAGCTCTTCCCTTCTCTTGTTTTCCTTTGTGAACACACATCCTCTCACAGCTGCAACTATTTGTCAAGAAGGTTACTAGCACCAACTTGCCCCCATCTGCTTGCCCCTTCTCCATTTTATGCAGGTTACACAAACCTGCAAATAAAAAAATAGATCTAGAATTCCAGCATTTAATACTACAGAAAGAGTTTGTCTTAGATCATGATGATTTCCATATTTATTTCTTAACTCTTCTTTATAAGGTCACAATCTGTGGATATATTTGCAATACCTGACTGCAAGGTTTAAAACCATGTGGCTACTCTATTGAAACTCTACTGAAAGAAAAATTGGCTGCTCTGCAAGATCTTAAGCTCAAAACACTCTATTAGATGTGCTGTTCTTCCACTTATGTTTTTTAAAGTAGATCTATAGCTGCCCACATGACAGATTAATATTGTTCTACAGTAGTTAGGTGCTTGGCATTACATTTTTGAAGCATCTACAGGCCTTCGGGGCTGAAAGTGTTCACATCTTCAGCAATCTATAATGGTTCCTCTAGAGGCCAGCACTTGCTTCATAATGAAACATGCCCCATAAATCAGCTTGCCGAAGTGGCACTCGTGCACGTCACCATCCATCTTAGCAGTTTCTCTGAAGGCTGTTGGGTAGAGATCATCTCCCAGCATTGCAACCAGGGAAAGGACCATCACAGTTGGCACTGATAAAGCATGTGCTACTTAAATCTGAAGACACTAAGTCTATGGAAAAAAACACATCCTGCTGGTGTTAGCATGCCTCAGGCAGTGGTAGAAGCCTCAGCAACTCATCTTCAAAAGGCAAAGAGCCAGGGCTCTAGAAACCTGCAAAAATTGGCTAAGCCCGCAGTCTTTTTTTTTCTTTTTTTTTTTTCTTTTCAGTTGAGCATCTTCAAAGTCTACAATTCTAACTGTAGGGCACAGCAGCTGCCACTGCAGATTTGATCCTCTCAGCTTTTGGCAGCTCTCAACTTGAAATTCTAGCAAAAGAATTTTTCAAGTTGCTATTATTGCCTGTCATGGATTTATAAATATTGTGCACTATCTGCTGTGGCATGGCTCTCATGGGACACCAGTGCATGCCAAAAGCATAACAGAATGAAATACAGTTCCTATTCTTCAAATAAATGCTAATTTTTTTTAACTGTGCTCACACGATGTGTTTGGTGATCAGCTTCAATAGTACAGAATATATATCAGAAGGAAAAAGGCTGATTGTCTTTTCCAGTAGTATTCAGCTGCTACTTTCATTAAGCTTGTTTAATTACATTCCAGATGCTAATTTGCAAGTCGATACCAGAGGGTGCAGGACAGTCTGCCTTTGAATCATTTTTCTGTGATGTGATGGTCTTGCAGCACACCACTACCCTCCAGTAGCCCTAGCAAGATATTCTGACAATTAGTGCAAAAGAAACCAGTATTCATCTTGACAGAAAAACAGTAATTCTCTACCCATTATAATAATTTAATCTCCAGGAATTTCAAATTTTAGCACTGCCATTTTATACAAGCTTATGTAATACATAGGTTGTGTACTTTCTATTTAATTTGTTTTAATTTTAATAAAATACCATTTGCTATTTGGCTATTTTATTGAAATGAGTATAAAAAAAAAGTGACTTTAAGCTGGCAGACATAATGAAATATGAAGTGTTTAACAGTACCGTTGAGCTTTATCACCTAAAATGTCGCTGGTGCAGTTACTCCAATTATCAAACCATTGTTAGCCAACAGAATGCTCAGTAAAAACAGAAGAAGGGATAAGGTGCACGCACATCTCCAAGATCTAAATATCCATTTCAACAAATCGGTAGGTAGCATTTCTACATGCTTGTTATAACAGTGAATATCTGCTGCCATTTAAGGTTGTGTATGAAGACAATTTAATTAGGATGACCTTTCTAAATAGGAAAAGTTGGAAATTTACCAATTTTTGGTGGCTCTTTTTAGCTGGTCTTACACAAAGAATGACTTAAAATACAAGCTTGAAAACTAGCTGAGAATGAGATAAGATTTTTTAGTTTCCTAGCATAGATCTTTGACATTTGTATCTTTGAAAGGGTACTATTATTCCGTAGCTGTTGATGCCAAAGATTTGTAGGCCATGTTTTCGGTATGAATAGCACACACACCACGTGCATAGCCACATAAGAGGCTGCAAAAAGACTGTCATTCTCCAAACAGCATGCAGGGGAAAAAAAAATGGAGAAAAAAAGTACAGATTCTTCCTTTATATTTAATGGTTCTTTCTATTAGTACAACATAATGCTTAGAGAAGAAACTTGAGTGCCTAATTCAAAATATTCCAGTATTTTTGATAGCCTTCATAAACTGGAGGCCAAAAGTCCAATTTCTTCAGCTCCTGCCCAACACCCAGGAACTCCTGCAGTTTTGTAATTTAGCACAGCTACCACTATTTCATACAAAGCGATAGAATAGGAGCTGTTTCCAGGAATAACTGGGAAACTGCTTATCCCTCACCAGCTCTTAAGCAGTTTAACTACTGGAAAACTGCCTGAAACAAATTTTTAATTCAACTAGTATATACATCAGGTTTCTTCATGAAACTTAAGAGGGTAGAACAAACAATTTCAAATTTAGGTAGTCCATTTCAGAGAGGAATTCTGTGGAGTTATGGGATTACCCTCTGAAAATGTATCCCAGTCAATGCAATATTTGAGAGTAGAAAAGGCCAACACTAGAAGCACTATAAAGACTGGGAAAATATGACAACTTTCTGAAGTCAGTCAATCTGTACTTTTTCTGCATTATTCAGTGATATTGAATAGCTGTAAGAATTGCTGCATCTGTGTTTTAGATTCGAATAATATTATGGAAAGTGTTAGTAGTACTGAATATACCCCATCATCTTGAAACCTAATTGATTTCATATTTTACTCTAGTATTTTTTGTTGTTTTTCCAGTCGTGTACTCTTTTTTAATGATTAAGATACCTGCACAAAGAGAATGACCAGCTGCTGATGGGTGAGGGAAAACAGCACACAGCAAAACCAACCTCACCAAGGCTATCAAAGCCCTGAAGCACCTGTAATCAGTAAGTTATTTGTATTCCAAACTTTGAGTTATATTAAAATATGAAGTTTTATCAGCACTTAGGTTTGCAAGAAATAAGATTTTTTTTAAGACTGATTTGAAAGCTTTGCAGTTATTTGACATTAAAACATTTTAAAAGCAAGAAACTAGAACAGGTTTAACTTTTTTAAAAGCTTCAAACCTCTTAAATTCTTAAGGTCATGAGAATTACTGAAGGAAAAAAACACTGAACTTTTAAAAATCATTTCTTACCTCCATGTCTGGTTTGTATTTATCTTCAAACACTGCCATAGCTGCTAGTGATCCAGAACCTATTGTAATAAAATTAAGAGATAATGCTATTTAGCTACTATTTTTAAAAGAAAAGATACCAATTAAATAACAGCACCACAAAACAGTCTAAAAGTCTATTTTAGTTTACTAAAACACTCTCAAGTGTCCATCCTGTTGAGGTCCCGCACCTAATTTAATCTTAAATTTACATCTTGTGCACAAAGACCTGTTGTGGCCCCATTTCTGACAGCCTTTTCTTTGTAATACCACACACTGACACAAAAATGAGGTTAGAAAAAACTGAGTTAAGTGAATGCCACAGCTTCTAATTCCTACTCCTCCGTTTCTCCTGTCCCACTTCTGTGCCTAGCCATGTTAGGGGATATGTCACTTAATACTGAGCCGCTCGGAATGAATAGATTGTTTTAATGAGCTGCCCTGGCACAGTCACCTTGACACACTGGGATGAGTGAACCAGCAGTGGTAACAGGGTAGGTGGCTGCTGCCATCAGGTTATTTCCCACATCTACTCTAAAACAGTTCACTATGCATTTATTTTGTGCCATTATTTTTACTTTGAACAATAACAGCTGAATAGACAAAATGACAGACAGGAAAGCATGCGTTTAACATTACCTCTCTGATGCACTGAAAGGAGGCACTGCAAGGATAGCAGCGTAACAGAACCCACCTCTCCCCACAGCGCCGTAACTGCACCTCTTATAAATATGCTTTCCATAAATGGATATAAAAAGCAGTATGATACTATCTAAAATTGTAAGCTGGCTTTGTTCAGAAAGAGGGAATCCACAAGATATCTTATCTGTCTGTGGCCCTGACCATATTTCAGAGAGCTCTACTTTTGGGGAGTGAATAAAGTTACCTGCAATTTTTTACACCAATTAGAAGATTTTTTGGCATTTATTACTTTTTAACTTGTTTTGCATACTGCTATCTGTTTAGCTGGGTCACAAAGAAAGCCATATTTTCTATTTAAAATGATTTGTGTATATCGCTTGACCACCTCAATGGTTTAGTGAAAGAAAAAGGCAGCGATTAAACAGTTTCAAATGAGGTGTCCTGCTGATTTTATCAAGTCTGCTGAATGTATAATGAAAAAGGAGAAGCTGACAGTGACACTGTTGAGGAAATACAGACTACCTTATCTGAACCATTTAAGGAGGTCCAATTATAGATCAAATTTAAAGGGTAGAAACAGCAGATTTACAGACACAAATCAATGAACATGGTAATCCCAATGAATATGACAGATATTCCTGTTACAGAATATTGCTGTGGTTGAGGATCATTACCTTTACAGTACCAAATACATCACATCTAAAAGCAGTAGGACATTCTAAGTGTGTACTTGTATTACAAGCAATGACTATTCATTTATACCTCAGAGCAATATGAAACTCCATTTTTTAAATGCTGAAACTGGGAATAAAAAGGATTTTTAAGAGACTAATAGCAGAAATGAACTGCTGATACAACAGAGCAAATCACCAAGTAGAAGTAATTCTACTGAACCTTTAACCAAGGTCAAGGTGAGGTCTGTTCCAAAGCAAATACAGGGCTCAAACCATAAAATAGTACCTGTGGAATTACACAGGAAAAAGAAAATCCGTGAACCAAAGCAAAATTTCTAAGTATGGTTTTCCTACTGCAGCAGCTAAAAAAGCACAGAAATCTTAGGCATGAAGGGACTGTGGAGCATTTCCTCCTGTGTGGGAAATGGCCCTTCCCTAGGCCCCATGTTCAGCGCCCAACAAAACCCGATTTGTAGCAAGCGTGTTTGCTTCGTGCAGAAACGAGTTTAAAAATTTCCAGTCGTAATGTCTGGAGAAAGACAAAATCCCAAGACTGCAGAATACAACCTATGTGTTCAGGACAGATGTTGCCATTTCATATACACGATATTCAATGTAAGGTTAAGATTTAATATTACTAAAACACAGCAGTTTAATCTCAAACTTATTAAAACATTCAGGAAAACTGTATCATTATGTAATATGCTTAACTGAACTCAGATTCAAAGTAATACCAAAACAAGTTATTTATCTAGGACAGATGTTTATTTAACCTGGACTTTTAACTATATACAACCGATGCAGATCTAAGAATGCGTAGTCTGACAAAGTATTCTTTAAACATTTGAAAGATATGGCTGTTCTGTGAATGAGCAATGATAACAAAACAAAGCACAACTGGTAAAGCCTTCAGGTATATGTTATTGCATAAAGTTCAGACACAAACTTTCAGCCATTTAAAAAATATATTTTAGCTGCTATGAATGATTAGTTCAGGAACTCAATCACCAAGAAAAGAAGTCTCATCAGATCCAAAAAATTGATTTTGCGTAAGTTTTAAGTAAGCTTTACTTCAGAAACATAAATATTAATTAAATATTAATTTAGCATCTGAACACAAGCATGGACTGACAACCAAAATACAAGATCTGGAATGAGGAGTTATGTACTGAGACAAATCTTTTCAGTCTAATAGTTAGCATGAACCAGAGAATTTACCTGTGGACAGTAAGAGTTTATTTATTAATTAAGTTAATTTATTAAGTTAACTATGCTTTTTTTTATTAGCATGAACCAGAGAATTTACCTGTGAGACAGTAAGAGTTTATTTCTGTCCTTAACTATGCTTTTTTTTATCCTTTCCTAAGTCCTTAGGACAGAGTCATTCAGAAATTTGTGGGATTTGACTGTACTAAATTCACATTAAAAATGCCATTTGGCCTTTACTTGAGGAGTTTTACAATTTCAGTGTTAGATTTGAAGTGATAGATGTGGATGCACAGAAGAAAAATAAAAAAGTGGACAATTTCTGCATTTTGCAGCTGCAGTGGCTTTTTTGAAGCAGTTGAACAGGATCCTTTAGCCGAACGCTCACCGAAGATTCCTCTGCTAGGCAGAGCGCCTTCCAGCGAGTGCGGCCCCGTGTGCTCCGTCAGCCTCCCCGCCGCAGCGCGAGCGCGGCCTTGGGAGAGCAGCGCCGAGACCTGCTCATCCATCAGTGCCAGCCCTCCCTGACAGCACATTCATCCACGCGCGCTCATTGTTATTCAATTTGCCGCTCATTCGAGGTAAGAATTGGGTGATCTCCACAGCCCCATCGATTGGGATCATTTTTCACCCTGGTTCCTCGTCTCGGTGGTGGTACTGCTTGCTCTGCAGGCCAACGCTGCCAATGCATGAAGAGCTGATTTATGAATATGAAGCAATGCCAGTACCAGGGGACTAGGCTCAGCCACTAGAGACCACTGGAACATACTTACAGTATCTGAAAGCTGAACTACAGACTTCAAATGGTTTAATTTTATGCATGCATTTCATTATAACTCTTGGCCAGAAGCTTTCCTAGACAAGCCAAGCAATCAGACAATCTTGCATCGTTTGCTGAAATCCGTTTTTGTCCTTTGTCAGCATAAACAGGTTAATTTGATGTTTTCACTCCTGAGTAAGCACTGAATATTTTTTTAAATCTATCTTGCAAGACAGTGTGTTCATCCACAACCACATAGCAGCTAAGATACTTTAGGGAAAAAAAAAAAAACCCACACACAAAATTACTCACATTTCCTGTTTAATATTGAATTTCCAGAAATTAACTGGCCAATTTAATAAACTGCATGTTGAACATCTGAAAAGTGACACCTACACCTAGCTACACTCAATTCCTACAGAAGCTTTCTGCAGTAGCCATTCAAAACTGCAGAATGCCTACAAAACTTCCAGCAATAGGTTACTCAGCTTATAAATTAATTATTTGACTTGAATACCCGAACTGTTAAAGGATGCATGTTCACTTGGGATATTACAACGTTCCTTAGAGCTGAATGTGATCCAAAGTGTGTTTTTTAGCATAAGAATTAATGAGCTTCAGTATGTTTATTTACATTACAGATGTACCTAGCAGTGATATGTACATACATGCCACTGAAAATATAATGACTCAGTGAAGATATGAATGTGAACTTCTCCAGGAAGCATATGCTGCATCAATCTGAGCATGCAGTAACCTGCTAATAGTAACAGGACCTTATTTTCAGCAATGCAGGGTATGCTGACAGAAGCAAATTCTACAGTGTTTTTAAACAGTGCCTTTGGGTTGCATCTTACTGCAGGTTTAAGGTTCTTGAGCTGTAAGATTAACACCGCGCTTCACTTGTGCTTCAAGGCAGCCCATTTGTACTACACATTCACCTCTAATAGTTCTTGCAGAGCTCCTCACCCACCAAACTTTTTCTTGAGGTTTACAAGGATCATTTTTTTCATATACTATTCAAACATTGCCCACGGTAACTGCACGGACAAGCAGTGTCAGTGCACTAACCACTGCAGATGGCAAGGTAAAGGACATTTCATTGAGAAAGACTTTGTTTGAAAGCGTGAACAAGTGACCAGGCAACAGGTCTACAGCAGACAATGAATCAAAGTTTAAGCACAAGTGAACTGAATGCAGTGATTCCACTTCCTACCTATGTGATTTTTTTCCTGGTACAAGGTTATTTTTGTGGAATGAAAGATGAATGGCCAGGATTTTCAGAAGTATCACCTTGTTGGACTAGATGATCTCTAGAGGTCCCTTCCAACCTTAAACATTCTGTGATTCTGTGTGATTTTAAGGCTTTTAAAACAAAAGTGCTAAGGTAACAGTGTACATAGCGGTCATGGGACTTTATTCAGGCAATCAGCTGCTAAGAGCAATATGAAGTCATTTATGGCTTTACAGTTCATTTTATTAGGTATAAGGCCATTAAAAGAATCAGACATTTAAAGCAATCAGGCATTTACACCTTTTAAGGTATCAAAGGCTAAGCAATGACATCACATGGCATAACTGTTACAGAGATCTTATTTGCCAAGTAAATAATTTACCCATTTATTTGGTAATGGCACCATCTATTGGTCCTATACCATCTTTGCAGAATTTCTGTAAATTTACTAAAGTTCTCATTTCAAACTGAACCCAATTAATTGAATTAAACTGTTAAAATAGTACAGTTTTAAGAGGCACGTGATACCTTATTTTTTGAAGTGTGTGTTAAATGTAAAGACAGATGTTAAAACACTACCAATTTCATTAACTTTCTGTATACATTCTGGTTCAGGGGTCACAGCCTCTCAAGATGGCTAATATGTATGGAACTGATCTGTCCCACAGAAACCTCATGCTCAGTGACATTTGTAAGACACACTTTTCTAAGCTTTGCTTTAACCCACTTCTAGTTTTTGCTTTCAATTTTCATAAGAAGACTCATCATATATATATTAGTCTTCCTCTATTAAGTCAGGATCTTATTTTTTCCCCTGTTCTTCTCCAAGAGCCTTTTTATTGTACTAAGTATGTGATCTCAAAGAGGTTCACGTTTCTGCTGAACATGTTTTGCACCAGTACAGGCTGGGAGCTGAGCTGCTAGAAAGCAGCTCTGCAGAGAAGGACCTGCGAGTGCTTCCTTGTGGCCAACAAGGAAAGCTTGAGATAGTAATGCTTAATAACCTAGTGGTGTGCTCCTAATTTCACTTCCACACCTCTTCATTAGATAGGATAAGGCCAAAATTTCTCTCTTGAGAAACCCTAAACAGTAGTTAAGACCCATTATTATACACAGAAAGCAAACCAGACTGGTGTTGCTTCACTAGATTGAAGCACTTCCCTGAATAAGTCTTCTCAAAGAAGAAAGAGAATATTGCACCTGCCTGACAACTTAATCTCTGAAGTCTGAACTCATAGCAAGTCATAGAAATTAAGTAAAAACACTTTAAATAATAAACTCAAATATTTAAGCTTCTTTGCAGGAGTTCTGTTACAATATTGTGGGATATCACTTACCCATGGTAACATAAGGCAATTTATCAGTTGATCCATGGGGATAAATGCTGTAGAGGTGAGGTCCAGTGACATCTACTCCTCCTAAAACCAGGGCAGCACCAATGTAGCCTTGGTACCTAGGAAGAACGATTAGCTGTGAACCTGAACACCTTTGTGAAAGCTCTTGTTCCTTTTAAACGCAATGTATGCGCTAGAGAAATTTTCCACAGTTATACTACATGCATCTCAAAGTCACAAAGACTAAGAGATGACTCTCAGTTTAGATCTTATCCTGTTGTTTCAACAGCATTATAAATAAGAAAACCATTCAGTTACCTGAAAAGCATTTGCTTTAGCATCCGATTAGCCGTGGCAACCCTTGGGAGCCGGCCAGTAGACAGCGAATGGAGCTCCAGATTGGAGGAAATCAGCTGAGTGGTCATGTCGGTATCTGCAGCTGTCCCAGCACCGCAACAACTGGAAAACATCGCCAGCAATTGGGAAAGGTGAGAAGGGAAACTCCTCTTTAGGGCCAAATCCGACCTCTGTTTTATCCAACAACCCTAAATGCCTTCTCCCTGCTCCCCCCAGCTTATCCTCAAGAGACCCACACTGCTATAGTTGATGGCAGCTCCTTCCTGCTTTTGTCCCAAGACTTTCAGAGTTTCTGCAATGCAAAACTCATACTACTAGTAACCCTAGAGGATGGAATATAGAAATATATTCTGAAAAGATTTTAAAACTAATAACAAACACCCTTGGACTGTAAATGCTGAAGTTGTGTTCCTCTTTCTCCAGGTAAAGAGGAGGAAATCGAGTTTTTATTTATACATTCAACATTTCCAGGGTGTGAAACAGGACAGCCTGATAGCCTTTGCTATTACACCCATCCTTAAACGAGTGCTTATTTTTCCCCCAGGGGAAGTAGCCTCTCCCGCAAGCCCCGTCCGCGGCGCAGCGCTCACTAGATGTTGGGCGCGATGAAGTGTATCTTGGAGCAGTTCTTGTCGGCCACCACCATGCCCTCGGTCGCCCTGGTGTCCGCGCCCAGCACGATGCCGTCCTGCAGGGAAGCGCCATCAGCCCCGCGCG